TTTTTTAAATGATGGATAATCATTTGTCTGAAATGGTATAGGGTTTCCTGCCTAGGCACGGGGTTGGACTAGAAGACCTCCAAGGTCCCTTCCAACTATCATTCTATTATTATAGAATATAAACAGAGTTGGGAGGGACCTTGGAGGTCTTCTAGTCCAACCCCGTGCCTAGGCAGGAAACCCTATACCATTTCAGACAAATGATTATCCATCATTTAAAAAACTTCCAGTGTTGGAGCATTCACAACTTCTGGAGGCAAGTTGTTTCACTGATTAATTGATTTTCCTGTCAAGAAATTTCTCCTTAGTTCTAAGTTGCTTCTCTCCTTGATGAGTTTCCACCCACTGCTTCTTTGGGGCAGCCCCTGAGATATTATAACACTGCTATCAAGTCTCCCCTGGTCCTTCCTTTCATTAAATTAGACATACCCAGTTCCTGCAACCATTCTTCCTATGTTTTGGCCTCCAGTCCCCTAATCATCTTTGTTGCTCTTCTCTGCACTCTTTCCAGAGTCTCCACATCTTTTTTACATCTAGATGCTTCTGCGGAAAAGTGGCCATGTCATATTTTCCCCTTTACCAGAGGGAGCCCCCTTTTGGATTACCGTGAAGCCGTTACCATGGCAACTCTGCTGCGTTGTACAGTAGAAGCCATTTTACGGTAGTACAATAAAAGCCATTTTAAGGCTGTATCTTAACAGAACACACACACTGAGGAGTGTTAGGGATGTCTTACCCCCCACAGTATTTGTCTACAGAGAGTAAATCATCTCTCTGGAGACAATTAGGGCTATTCCAGCTCCTTGTTGGGAAATCAAGGTGGTTCTGTGGAAAAGTGGCCATTTCATAGATAGAGCATTAAAAATCTCCCCTGGTCCTTCTTTTCATTAAACTAGACATGCCCAGTTCCTGCAACCATTCTTCCTATGTTTTAGCCTCCAGTCCCCTAATCATCTTTGTTGCTCTTCTCTGCACTCTTTCCTGAGTCTCCACATCCTTTTTACATCTTGGGGACCAAAACTGAATGCAGTACTCTTGCCGTACAGCATCTTCAGTTGCAAAGGTTGCAAACCACCTACCAGCCATAGAGGAAGAAGGCGAAATAGGGGATGGACACGGCCAACTGAAGCCAACGCCAGTCCCGGATGGCGTACGCCACTCCTGCGAGGATGAACTGCCCAAGGCTGTAGCTGTACCCAGTTACCATGCTGACCGTGGCTCGAGAATGCATCGGTGTCCACTCCACAGCTAGAAAAAAGATGGAACAGAGTTGGAAGGGACCTTGGAGGTCATCTAGCCCAACCCCCTCGCCCAAGCAGGAGACCCTACACTATTTCTGACAGATGGGCAGTCCAGTCTCTTCTTGAAAGCTTCCAGGGATGAAGCTCCCACAACTTCCGAAGGGAACTTCTGTTCCATGGGTTGATGGTTCTCACTGTTAGGAAATCCCTCCTTATTTCCAGGTTGAATCTCTCCTTGGTCGGTTTCCATCCATTCTTCCTTGTCTGGTCTTCGGGTGCTTTGGGAAATAGCTTGACCCCCTCATCCTCTCTATGGCAGCCCCTCAAATATTGGAAGACTGCTATCATGTCTCCCCTGGTCCTTCTTTTCATCAAACTAGACATCCCCACTTCCTGCAACCGTTCTTCATATGTTTTAGCCTCCAGCCCCCCAATCATCCTGGTTGCTCTTCTCTGCGCTTTTTCTAGAATCTCAATATTCTTTTTATAGTGTAGTGACCAAAACGGGATTCAATATTCCAGGTGTGGCCTTACCAAAACTTTATAGAGTGGTATTAGTACCCCCCTTGATCTTGATTGTATCCCTCTGTTAATGCAATTTAGGATTGCATTGACTTTTTTGG